CACCTTGGAGATGGGTTCCTTTTTTCAGAAACGGGAAATAAGAGAGATGCATTACCACATGTACTGAAGGAGGATAAAGGCAAGGTGCGCGGACTAGGGATGTCTGATGTCTCGGCGGCTACGTGGCCGACGTACTCCCGGAACAATCATGGGGCATGTCGTCTGCTGACGCCGGCAAAAATCATTGAATCAGCCCTTGCGGCTCGGCTTCTCGGCGTGGCCGGCGATGGGCAACTGCCGCGGGGCACGATCTAATCTATGCGTCATCAGAGGGCTGTGTGTCTTGCCGCCTGCTGACCTCCCGTTTGGGCTGTGTGCTGGGCCAAATCGACTAGTAATATACATGACATACATACATAAATGGGGGCCCCCTGATTCCGGGGGCCCGGGGCGGCCGCCCCCCCTGCCCCCCCCCTCAGGGCCGGGCCTGGATGTCGAGTGATGTGAGTTGACTATAGACAAATAGCTAAATAAAGGAGATGAGGAAATTAATATTAGTAGTGTAATGAACTTCATACTGACTGCAAGTCACGTACATGTAGTCAAGTTGAGGCAGAAATCATTTTTCTTGGAACATAATTTGGTAGCACTCCATCATTGCCATGAAACCTCTAATCTCAAACGTCAGTCTTCGGATACATAATTGTTAATTTAAGTCTTAACTGAATCTCTGCAAGCAAACATGATGGTTTTAGCATCAGATACATAAAGATTAGGATAACCTGGCATATAAATCACCTCAAATTAGGGTATACCAGGATTGCAAAATTCACAGTTGTAGCACAGTACTATATAGTATAGTGAGTAGCTTGTGCTTCAGGCCACCGACACACAACATACTGGAAACAGTAATACCCATCTGATGACTTGTACCGGTGAAATGATGCAAAGAATAAGGTGAAGAGAGCATAGAGATAAGGTCAGACAACATGTGATTATGACCGACTCCATTTGGTAAAGGAAATAGAGGATCCCTGCCCCCATCTAGAACCATCCATTATATAGTTTTAGTGTTCAAGTACATTATTAAACCTTCCAATATGGATTAGATGACATCATCACCAACCTGTCGTGTGTCCATCGGAAGTATCAATTGGACTACTCTGAATGGGAAAGATAAAAATCCCCAAGGATTAAATACCGGCGAACAAAATAATATCATAACAAAAAAAATTATTAGACATGCAAAACCACTACAATTTTCAAAGTATATAGCTAAATTCACTTTTATTTTTCACTTCTGTACATATGCAAAAATGTAATAAGGGTTTTACAGACTTGTGGTACCTCTTGTAGTTTTTTTAGTGATGCGTCCTCAAAAGTATAGCAATTAAGAAAAGGCCGGCATGCCTGCAGTGGAGGAGGGGATTAATGGGATTAGGATGTTGGGGAGGGCCGGTTGGAGCAGAAAACAAGTCAAATGCTGCACTGTTCATGTGTTTATTATGAACAAATCCATAGTATTGGGAGGGGGCAGGGCCCCTTGCTGGTCATGTGTTTATCGCCACACAATGCCTGCAAATAAGAACAAATTTTTTTCTCAGTACAATGATTTTGATAGTTAAATTTATCGGTACACATTTAACTGGAAACAACAATATTTTAGATGATGTACTCCTAATCCCTCATTCGAACGGTTGATTACTTCATCTGTTGACGAACCAAAAAAATGATAGGGGCACATACATACTCTTAAGTCAATTTAAAAACCTTGATGGAGATGGAGATGTTAACAAATAGACTGATATTTGTCAGTTGTTACTGAAATTAGGTAATTCATAGAAGGATAAACTCTAAAAATTAGCAGAGAAGAGGAATATGGAACATTAGCATGGAGTTTTATAGTCGCAGATCTGATGGTGTAGATGATCATTGTTGAATTGTAGTTTGATCTATACCCTAACCACACACATAGTAAAGGTGGTAGTGGCTCCAGCATCCACGAAGGCAGTGAAACTGGGACTCCGAAATATCCTCGTTTCCTTATTCTGTGTTTAAGGGCTGCTCGAAAGGGTGGTATTTCAACAATTAGACAATAGCTAGCTGATTCATATCAACTCATAGCACGACAATAAAAGGCGATAAAAACAGCAAACAAGAAAATGACATCTAAACGCTATACCACTCAAACAAATGCTTTTTTTGGTATTCCAAACTGCAAGACTACAATGAACCGTGCATCCATCTGTTTATAAATAAGCATTTGTAGCTAAGAATGGACAGAGAAACAAAATTGCATACAGAGTTATAGCAAGGAACCAAAATCAAAGGGTTCCTAACCCGGGTTAGGGAAACCTATCAAACTTGCAATCTGATCAAGCTAAAAAGGCGATGAAATAAATGCTCTCACCTAAAGCAAGGAGAAAGCTTGCATGTGGTTGACAGCGAGACAGAGGTTGAGGTTGTTGAACCAATCACACATGCAAAATTCAGCATTTTCTATTTCCTTGTGAGACACATACCTTGAATAATGAAAGAATGACAACACAAGACACTGGACAATACATTTCAATTTAGCATCTAGAAATTGTTCTCCCGGTGATAAACCTGCAAGCATAGAAATATACGACATCGTGGTGAACAATTTGAATAATATTCTTACTGAACTACAGTGAGAGCAAAACATAGCACACAAAGCGTAAATAGAAGACCTCAATATTTTAGCATGAGTATTAAACTATTAATGGTAAAGACAAATGAACATGTTTGCATTTCATTGAAGATGCTCTAGCCATAGGGTGAAATTCATTTGAAAAATCTGAAAACACACATTTGTTAACCATTGCCTTCGGAACTAAACACACACATCCAAAACACCTGAAATCTGGTTTCCATGATTATTTGTGGTACACAGCTAAATTGTAAACTTATTAATATATTTCGTTGCTTATTTGATTCTACAAAGAAAATTTTGGATACCATTGAGAACATCAGCGAAGGGGAGCCTTGGCGCAGTGGTAAAGCTGCTGCCTTGTGACCATGAGGTCATGGGTTCAAGTCCTGGAAACAGCCTCTTACAGAAATGTAGGGAAAGGCTGCGTACTATAGACCCAAAGTGGTCGGACCCTTCCCTGGACCCTGCGCAAGCGGGAGCTACATGCACCAGGTTGCCCTTTTTTTATTGAGAACATCAGCACTATAAGCCTGTCTATATTCCTACAGCATGTGCAAGTAAAATGCAAACACTGTGTCATGATAGAAGGACGGGTTTTTTTTTTTGCTTTGTGATGCGAAACCTCCCTTTCATCGGTCACATACATAATTGACGTTTCATCACTTAGATTATATCATCACGCAGCAATAGAAATACAAATTAACAAGGGGGGCGGGTGATCTTGCCTTATCAATTTCCTGTTGCTCTTGCTCCTCCCTCACATACTCGGATCCAATGTGATCCCCTCCTACTACAAGGAATCATGAGTTGGACAAGAGAAGGTGCAGAACTGTGTATGTGAAAGAGGAAAAGTAGATCAGAGAAAGAAAGAGATGTACCTGCAGGTTTCATTCATCAACGACAAAAGGGTGTGGAGCTAGGATCCGTCACCATCGGATGCAGGCACACCCTTTCAGAGAGGAGACACGCGGTCGGCATCTGCCTCCCCGTCGCGCACAACAGGGCCACCTCCCTCGCCCATGTCCTTACCAACGCCTACGCGGCGCTCGCCGACTGCGCCGTCCCTGGAGGGACTTCCCCTTCGCGGGGCACCTCTTCCTCGGCGGAGGCGGCAGTGCGTGGAGGAGGGATGGCGGCGACGGCGGACCGGGCGGCGTGCCGGCGGCCCTGACGGCTCGGCTGGGCGTGGCGGCCCTGACGGCTCGGCTCTCGTCTGGGCGCGGCGCGTTGTGGACGGGGCGGGGAGGGGCCGGACCGGGCGGCGCGTGGACGGGGCGGCCAAGCGGTTGGAGAGTGGGTGTGGCGGTCCGGCGGCGGTGGCTGGCGGGAGTATGTGGGTGGGAGAGGTCGGGCAGGGGCCAAACTGCCCGAGGGCGTGGTCGCGGGAGGGTGCTTTTTTTTTGACCGGACGTGTTTATGAGGATTGTAACCCAATGGCTTGGTGGGTAATTAAATCAGATTGCATGTTTGAATGGATATGAAGATTTGGTTCTCCACCATCTCTTCCTTTTACAGGGATAGTAGATGAATTGCCCGAAGACCGAAAAATCGAGACACCCGAATGCCCACTGTGGCAAGTTACGACCTTTCCGCATGCGTAGAGTACCTTCCCGCTGCTGTTTATCTGGCATTTTTTTAATTTGGATTGGAGTTGACGAATTTATATAAATATAAAAACGTGCGACCAAGTGGTTAAGAGCTGTTAGTTAGGCCGCGCCCAACCACACTGTCTCCGGCGGTACATTGCGACGTCTTAACCGAAGCCCCCATCGCGCCATTAACAATGACAATCTATTCTCTCGCAAGCAAGCAAGAGGATCCGTCCACGCCCACGCCCACGCGTCATGCGTGCCATCGAGACGCCCATGCCAGAACAGCAGGTAGCAGCACGTACGCAGGCAGAGGAGAGGTCAGGAATAGTTAATGGCCGTACGGCGATCCACCGGCACCGGCAGACACCGACAAGACAATTTGGCACCGGCCTCTGCGATCACGGATGCCGCTCCAACCGCACCACCGGACAAGGCCATCGCGCCCGAATCCGCCGTTATTATACGCTTCGTAATCTCAGACCCTCTAAACCAAGGCCAGACAACCAAGGTCGAAGAAGGTGCGTGAAGCCTTCCTCTCCGTCGTCCTTTGCCCCCCTGTTACGTGCACGCTGTGATTATGTTAATGCCGCGACGCCATCGCTTTCGCCGTCCTTTCCTCCAACCTCCATTGTTTAGCCACTGGCCCACGCCCTGCCGCCCCCTCAAATGCTTAAGTACCGGCGCCCTCGAGGCCTTGGAGTGTACGTGGTGCGGGCGTGGCGGTAGGAACCAGCCAACCTTTGCGTGTGTCCAAGATCCTCGTGAACCGTGACCACCAGAGAATTCTTGGAGAAATGGCTTCCGCCGAGCTAGGGTCGGACGCGTGCGGCTTTCCCTGCGGCGGCGACGACGGCGCGATGGCGGCGCTCTCGCCGACGGTCGTCGTGTCGGTGCTCGCGTCTCTGCTGGAGCGGCACATCGCCCGCAACGAGAGAGCCTTGGCCGGGACGACGGCCGGTCGTGGCCATGCGGCGTCCGGCGAGGACGCGAGGAGGGCCGCGGCCTTTGACGGCGGCACGGTGCTGGACATGGGCGTGCGGGAGTTCCTGGAGCGGTTCTCCCGGTACGCGCAAGTGTCGCCGCAGGTGTACGTGGTGGCGTACGCCTACCTGGACCGGCTCCGCCGCGGCGGCGACGGCGCCGGGGCGGTGCGCGTCGTGGCGACCAACGCGCAGCGGCTGCTCACCGCGGCCATCCTGGTGGCCTCCAAGTTCGTGGAGGACAGGAACTACAAGAACTCCTACTTCGCGGCGGTGGGCGGTCTCAGCGCGGCGGAGCTGAGCTCGCTGGAGCTGGACTTCCTCTTCCTGATGCGGTTCAGGCTCAACGTCAGCGTGAGCGTGTTCCGGAGCTACTGCCGGCACCTCGAGAGGGAGGTGGGCCACGGCGGCGGGTACCAGGTCGAGAGGTGCCTAGAGAAGGCCCTCCTCGTCTCCTCCGGGGAGGCGCGGAGGCAGCACCGGCAGGCGCCAGCGGCGGCAGCAGCTCAGTAAAAGGCCGTCGCCAACCTGGACGCACTAAAGACTAAGGTAGCCGCAGCCATTGACGGCAGCCGCACGAGCTCATCGCCGTGGCGTGTGCCGCGTCATGACAAGATCGAGTGCCAAGTGCCCACACGGGCTGTACCTGTACGTACATAATCGTAGAAAGTTTGCTAACTTGCATGTGTTAGCAGTTGTACACACAACCTCGGTTGGAAAATAAACCGATGCGAGGATTAGTAAGAAAAAATCTCTCTGTTTACTCTGCTTATGCGGGCACAATGACAAACGATTGCTTTTTAGCAGCTAAACAGAATTGACAGAGACTGGCAGATCGAGTGAGAATTGTAACAAAATATCTTTCCCATTTATACGTAGAATAAAGAGAAGGGGACACCTTTCCGCAACTCCCGGCCCATGATCATGCCAACCGACGGCAACAAATGATTCCATACCACTTTGTTAATCTACAAATGATTACTAGAACGTATCAATGCCGAACGTAGCCTCCACAATCTTCTTCATTTTCTCTTCGAAAATGTGCGATTGTGTCGTCGGTGCGACATCATATCATCGGCCAATAACTTTGCTGATAATGAAAAGGTGGTAGGCACGGCACGGCACGGCACAGCACAGGACAGCACATCCCCGGCACGCTCGAGCAACCCCATCAAGCCCCCACTGGGATACGGAAAACGACTCGTATCCGTTCATTGGTGGATCAGATCCTGACAGTGCAGCTGCACGGAGGATACCCCTGGCCCGGGCCTCGTGAGTCGTGTGACCTGGTCCATCCATGCGCATTTGCGCACACAGCGTTGCAAAAGGGTTAGGCCAACTCCAGAGCACGACCCTAAACGGACATCCGTTTAATTTGAAATATGTCCGTTTAAGTAGGGTAATAGGGTCGTGTCTGGATTTGACTGCCTCAAGTACTCAGGGTCAAACACTGCCACCACGGCCTTGTAGAAGTTGTACAGTTACAGTAGACATGTCGACTCACTCATGCCCACGTAATCCACTAGATCGTCTGAAATTTCATATGTAAGCATGCAGATGGCCGCGGTGCATTTCTGGTAAGAGGAGAATCCAAGCTTGCCAAGGGCATCCGTCTTGCACTCGAAGTATGGGTCATGACCAACCATTCCCTCTCGGATACGATTGAACATATGCCTTGCCGTACGAGAACGGCGACGGGATTTATCCGGCTTGAAGAGCGGGGTATTCGCAAAGTAATCGGCATAGAGCAGGGCGTGACCTGTCTCTCTGTTGCGGTTCAGGTTGGGAGCATGACCAGGGAATGACCCCCTGTAACGAGGAAGTTGCCGTTCAATGTGGTCGTTCACGACCAGTGCAGCCACCACAAGATCTTCGTCATCTGAGGACGAATCGTCTGATGAATAAATGAAGTGGTGGAAGAAAAATTCATCTCCATTGTCCATACCTTTGTGGGCAAAGTGTCAAACACCTTGCGGTCGTGGTGGCAAAGAGGCCGCGATGATCACCTTGATGCAACAGGGGTGGTTGGCGGCCGGCTACTGACCGCTCTGGAGCACCTGACAGAAAATGTCGTGGTCCATATCCGTCGCCGGCAGTAGTATCCCCTCTGGCACCGGCTACGACGGTGACGGCCAAATCTCCTTCAAGCGACGACCAAAACTCCTACGAAAGCGTGGGCGTGATGGAGGCCATGTCGAGACGTGGTGTGGTATGGACGGCCGGGGGAAGAGTAGTGAGGAGACGGCCGGAGGATACGGGCGGCACCGGCGTCGGGGTGGGGCGGAGGAGAGCGCGTGGACGCGAATGAAGTGCTAGTGTCCCCGATAGGCGGGCCACGGGGAGGACAAGGGCCTGCGTCCAGCCTGTCCGCGCGATGTCAGTTTCACCCCAAACGCGACGCAAGTTTGGGCCGGGAATGGGTCAGAAACAGACGAAATCCGGACATTTGTCCGTTTGGGGCCGCGCGTTGGGCTACGCTATTCGTTTGTTCTACCCCAAATGGACGCACCCGAACGGGATGGGGTCGCGCGCTGGAGTTGGCCTTACAACATCTCCAACGGTGACCCGCAAATTTCCTTCCACATCCGTATGCACACAGGGGAAGCATTCCGCGGGCACGGATGAGGGAGACCGTCGTCCAATGCTAGCCTCATATATTGCAAACTCATTTTCAAAAAACGGAATGAAATTCATGTAAATGTGGACGGATTCATATAAATGATGGATTCCATAGAAACCGGACGGCAACGGTTACATTATGGATATATTTTAACTAAAATGGTAAAACTATGTGCATGGACTGTCGCGCGGAGCTCCACTCCCACGACATGGATACACTAGTCTACGGACGGCCATGGCAGATCCCTTTGTCTTCCCCTTGTTCGGAAGCCCGCTCACTGGACTGTCGGGAGTCCCGGAGGCATATTCTTCCCATGTATCTTCCCTATGTCCGGCTATGCCGCTCATCGGAGTGGCAAAGAGGACGCTTTAGGCGGAGGGGAAGGGTGCTTCCACGGAGCCCAAACGAGTGTGCCCAGGATGATCTAAGCTAAAGGCCAGACATGGCACCGGCTGTACAAGCTATTTACGCGCCGGCAGTGGCCTCCATGGGATACAAGCGGCGGCGGCCTCCCGTGTTCTACTTCTCCTTGATGATGGCAGCGGGCGCTGATGTGCGGGTTGCCACCTTGTCGACATCCGCACAGTCGGCTTCTTTCTCTGCATACATGGCGTGGCTACACACGCATCGACGACGGATGAAGCGTTCACATGTACAGGAGGCGCAGTACGATGTGGCGTCATTGACGGCAGCGACAATGTCAATGCCGTCGTGCCAACCTGGAGCTACTCGCCACTCCTCCGCGAGCTGGCTTGGAGCGGCGAGTTGCTGAACCACCCGCCGGCTTGGGGTGGCAATTTGCTCTGTCGAGCTTGGAGGTGGAGCAGCGAGCTGCCTCACTCGTATCCAACGGGCTTGGCAGGCCACCCAGCCGGGTTTTAGGCCGGAGAACTGCTCTTCCGACTTGTCGATCCATCGTAAGAGTGGAGAAAATGGTGGAATGAGGAGATGGGGAGCAGTGGAGTGGTGCGATTCTTGCCCGGCGTCTGGCCTCATTTAAATAGAGGGGGGACAGGAGGAGCTTGCCCGATGTTGCATTTAATGCCAGCCTGCTCGTGAACAGACGTGTTGCCGGAGTAGGTTTCTTGGCTTCCACGCGGGTTTAATGGAGGCGTTTGAATGCGACATGGAGGCGTGTTCAGTCGGGCGGCGCCATCGGCCGACGTGCCACTTCAATGGCGGAGGTAGTGAGAGGTCGCGTCCGCCCTTAGCCGCCTTCAATGTGGAGCGGCGTGCTCTACGACGCCATGAATGCGGGCAGCTGGGTGACAGGCTGGAAGCGCGCGCGGGCGCGGGAGTGGTTTTTGGTGTGATAGGGTGGTTAGAAGCGGACGTGACGACAGTTCAGACTCCTGCAAACCTCCCCATGTTTGTCTCCGGTTTGCGAGAGAAATCACGTCTGAACCGTGCCGTGGACCGATATAGGACCATGTTGTATGGCTTCTGCGCTAAGGACAATGCAGTGAGGACTGATGCGGGAGGTTTGCCGGTCGGCATTAGAGATGCCCTTAGGGCATATCCAACGCAAACCCTTAAATTTTATCACATATGCATCCGCAAACATGGATGTGAGAGTCGGCCATCCAAATCTATCCACATATATTTCGAGTCAAATTTAAATAAATTGGATGGAATTCATGCAAACCGGATGGTATTAATACAAACTTTTTCCACAGCACATTCATTACATTTCGGATAGTTTTCATTTAGAAAAAATGTGGGCGGACCTAAACCTACAATACGGCGGCGGCAGTCATTCAAGTCCTGATTGTTCCCTTCCAGCGACCGCGTCTTCCATAGTCTCCATGTGTGGCGGTGACAAGACTCGCGAAGTGAAAGTGTGATATGTTTCCAACGTATCTATAATTTTTGTTTTTTGATTATGAATCTTAGATGCTCTATATGTAATTTTATATCATATCTTGGGAGTAACCTATTAACTCAGTGCCCAGTACCAGTTGTTATTTTTTGTTTGTTTTTGGCTTTTCAGAAAATCAATATGAAACAAAGTCCAAACACGATGAAATTTTACAGTGTTTTTTTTCTGGAATGGAAGGGACCCTAGAAGGTCTGGGAGGAGGCCAGAAGCCCTATGAGAGACAGAAGCTTGCACGGCGCGCCCCTAGGGGGTGCCACCTAAGCTTGTGGGTCTCACGCATCTCCATTTGACCTAATTTCACGTCTATAAATTCCCATAAATCTCCAAACCAACAAAGAGCCACTCAAAATAATTTTTCCACTGCCACAAGCTTGTGTTCTTCCGTTATCCCATCTGGAAGCCTATTGCGGTACTCTGCCAGATGCGGAATCGATCATGGAGGGTTTCTACATCATCATTGCTACATCACCAATGATGTGTCAGTAGTCAAACATAGACATATGGGTCCATACTGATTACCTAGATGGACTCTTCTCTCTCTTTGGTCTTCAATACAATATTCACTTCAGAGATCAATCTAATGTAATCTTCTATTGCGGTGTGTTTGTTGGGATCCAATGGATTGTGGGTTTAAGATTGGATATCATTGAAAGTAATTGAGACTTTTCTGAACTTTATTATGCATGATTTTTACAGCTTTATATTTCTCCCCGATGAATCTGTTTGATTTGGCCAACTAGAATGATTTATCTTCAGTGGAAGAGGTGCTTTGTAGCGGGTTCAATCTTGTAGTGTCCTCACCTAGTGATAGCAGGGGTAGTGAGGCACGTATTATATTGTTGTCACTAATGGTAAAACGATGGGGTTCAATCATACTGCTTGGTTTTATTCTATCTACATTATGTCATCTTGCTTAAAGCGATACTCTATTCGTCAAGAACTTAATACGCTAGATGCATGTTGGATAGCGGTCGATGGGTGGAGTAATAGTAGTAGATGCAGGCAGGAGTCGGT